CCCCCCACACACACACACACGTGTTGCCTCTGCATTAGCTCTTTGGGACAGGGACCATCTGTTTGCTCTGTGGTTGTACAGCGCCAAGCACAGCGGGGTCCTGGTCCGTGACTGGGGCTACCAGGCACTACCACAAAAATAAATAATGTAACCTGTTAATATGCCTGGGGGTGACTTGAATAAACTCCCCATTCACCTGTGGCAGAACAGGCCCTTCCCATTTAACTAGGGGACCCTTGGTGACTATAATGAGGCAACAGAAAAACTGTGCCTGTGAGCGATGCTGCCTCCTAGTGGCTGAGCAGTACAGAGATTAAGTGCAGTGCCTAGCGCAATGCGACCCTGTCTCTATTTGGGACTAACACACTACAAACGAACAACTGCCATCGCTAGCAGCTCTATGCAGGACCGACGAGAGGGGGGGAAGCCAGTACAAATTACTGGGTCCCGGCGGTCCGGAAGGGGGCCTGGGGCCCGGCTCCCCCTCCCCCCCCCCGTCAGCCCTGTTTAGCCGGTCCGCCCTTGCGGAAAAAATTTTTTTTCACCAGGGCCCGAACCCGCTCTTGGTGGCCCTGGCTCCACATGATCCCCTTGGCTCAAGTGCAAGAGGCCTGAGGTTTTGGAGCTCAAGTTCTGGGCTTCTTGTCTGAGCTCCCCAGAGCTACAGCTGATTTAACAGGTGTGGAGTGCCTGGACTCACTGCAGCTCTTCAAGCACTAATGCAGCGGAGATGCACCCTGGGCAGCAGTTCTAGCAGGGGAAGCCGCAGGCAGGGCAGAGCTGCACGGAGCTGGCCTCTGGCCAGAGCTGCTCTTTCATGGCCTCGCACTCACCTGCTGTCATTTTGCTGTTGGTCCACACGAGGTTTTTGGCTTTAACCACAACGACCGTCAGCCTCTCCGCTGTGGGTAGGTAACTAAGAGACAGCAGGATCTCTCCCACCGAGTCAACTGCCTGCAGGGCACATAAGGCACCATCCGTCACCCAACAGCAAACGTCGGCAGAAATGACTCATTCACAGATAAGAGGGGCAGGAGAAATAACTATCTGGCAAGGAAAGCTTTTCCCTGAACGAGGGTAGAAGCCAGGCAGTGTAGCTATAGCCTACAGAGGCTGACCTAGTGGTTAGAGGCCAGCACTGGGACTCAGGAGACCTCAATTCTCTGCTCTGCTACAAACTGCCTGTGTGACCATGGGCAATTCACAGAGGGTTTGCTCATGCTATGGGGTGGCTGTGTCACTGTAGCCCCATAGTGTAGATGTGCGTGACAATGGGAAAAAGCTGTTGTCACTTCACCTCCCAAGTAATGGGAGCTAGGTGGACAGAAGCAGTCTTCTATCGACGTACACTGGGGGCTTAGGATGGCAGAGCTACAGTGCTCAAGGGAGTGGACTTTTCACCTCCCTGAGAGTCTTAGCTTTGTCGACCTAAGCTCTAAGTGTAGACCAGGCCTTAGTCTCTGTGTCACAATTCCTGCAGATGGGGAAAATAGCACTTCTCTACCTCACAGGAGTGTGGCATGAATAACTACATGGAAGGTTATGAGGGGCTCAGATAATATGGTGTGGAGGCCACATAAGTACCTCAGAAAGATAAGTGTCATCTTCATGTGTGACATCCAACTGTCATTGATGGTGGCAAAAGCAGAGGGAAATCCTGATCACTTCCCCCTATTCTCCTTTCTACCTTGGCCCCATACTGGGAGAAACAGGGGTCACATTGATTAAACCAAAAGGCAGCGGGCTGGATTCTCACTGGTGTAAATGCTCACACCAGCTGAGGATCTGCCAGTGAATCTAAACGCAGAAGAGGAAACACTGTTTCACCTCAGCCTTTGGAGGTCAATGAGATAAATATTTTCACTGCTTTTCAGAAGTCAAGGACTCTTATTGAATTGAGCTGGGCCTGAGCTAACCCCAGAACCAAACACCTGAACACTTGGGAAATTTGGGTCTGGACCTCAGCTTTGGCTGGCCCTGGCTCCTCCCCATGAATTACGATTTGAGCTCTGCAAGTTGAGATAAGGATGCTCATGCTTCAGGGTGTCAGCTGATGGCCTGCAGGGAGAAGGAGGGAATTGCTCCTCCCAGGTGGATCATTACACAATTGGTAAGGTGCATTATGAGGGCAAGGGGCCGGTTTCATCTCGCTCCACAGCAGGAAATGTTGGCCATTGCCATGCCACTGCACAGGAAGGATGACCAGATCTGGAGTGACATCATATTCTGTTTTCCCCGCTGAGTCTCCAGATCTTGTGCTTCAGCATCAGCTCTGGTTTCCAAACCCAGCAGTAAAGGTGAAATTGTCTCGCACTTCATGCACTGGACAGCTCCCGCTGGGGAGGTAATCAAACCCAGCACTGCCTGTGGCTGACCCAGTAAGTACAGAAAATACAGCGCTTATCTTTCATGCCCCACTACCTCCTTTTCAGGGAGCCCAGCTGGGACCAGCATGCAGACAACGAGCGCTTACCTTGTTCATGTCCTGCAGATAGAGCCAAGCATTGAATGGGCGGCTGGCCAGATCCAAGTCCAACAGCTTCAGCTCTGCTACCCCGGTGCTGATGTTCCTCTCATCCTCATCAATGCCAAAGACAGAAAATCTCAAGCTGTTTTCCTCCAGCGCAGACGGGTCCAAGGGGATGGAAAACTTCTCATCAAAGAAGACAGAAAAGGCACTCCTTTGAATCTGCCGAGAGAAAGGAAGGTTCAACACTACGGCTGCAGGAGACGAACATATTACTATGGGGAGTTACTTGGGGGAGGGTGTTCTCCTTTTAAGAGCCACTGAGACCACCTGGAAAGCTCTGAAAAAGATTCCCTTCCCAGGCAGTAAGTTAGCAGTTTAGTACATCTTTAAGTGGCCAGAACCATGGGTTCAAATCCCACCAGGATTGACCCAGCCCTATGTACTTCCAGGGTAGAGACAGATAGAGCTTCATGCAGTTTACTGGGTGGGAGGATCTGCCCACACAAGACCTTAAGAACCAAGGTTCTCTTTGGTTCTGTTGGTAGAAAGTCAGGGCAAAGTTTTCAAAGGGGCTGTCCACTGATGCTTGTTTTGCCAGCCTCACAGCTATCCTCCCACAATGTGCTAGTTATGTGCTTACACTGCCATTGGTGACACCAGACATATCTGTGACCTACCTCACAGGGAGCCAGGAGGCTTAGGTAGTTCCTGTGTTAAAGTGCTTCGATAAAAGGGGCAATCAAGAGTAGGAAAGTCCTTGTGTGAGGAGCAGAATTAAAGCAAGTTACTGCACCTAAAGGATGGCTCCTTGCTCCAGATGGAGGATGGATGGAGTCCTAGAGGACTGGAGAAGGGCAAACATAGCACCTATCTTTGAAAGGGGGAACAAAAAGGATTCAGGGAATTATAGACCAGCCAGTCGAACTTTGTTACTTGGAAAGATACTGGAACAAATTATTAAAGAGTCAATTTGTAAGCACCTAGAGGATAATAGGGTGATAAGTAATAACCAACATGGATTTGTCAAGAATAAAACATGCCAAACCAACCTAGTTTCCTTCTTTGATGGGTTACTGGCCTAGTGGATGGGGGAAAGCCACAGACACGATTTATCTGGAGAAACGTGGTCTAGATAAAGTGGGTGCACGACTGTTGGAAAACCATACTCAAATCGTAGTTATCAATGGTTTGCAGTCAAACTGGGAGGATGTATCTCATGGGGTCACACGGGTCTATTCTGGAGCCAGTACTATTCAATGTTTTCATTAATGACTAGGACAATGGAGTGAAGAGCATGCTTATAAAATGTGCAGATGACACCAAGCTGAAGGAGGGGTTGCTAGCTCTTCAGAGGGCAGGATTAGAATTCAAAATAATCTTGATAAATTGGAGAATTGGTCTGAAATCAACAAGATGAAAGTCAATAAAGACAAGTGCAAAGTACTACACTTAGGAAGGAAAAATCAAACGCACAGCTACAAAATGGGGAATATCTGGCCAGATGACAGACCTGCAGAAAAGGATCTCAGGGTTAAAGTGGCTCACAAATTGATTACACTGCTCTACAGCCAAAATGCTTCTGAAATAAATGTAGTCAAACTTTACTAATTCTGGGTCACTGAGAATGAAAATGATGCTTAAAATTGTTGATTGGCTCTAGTTTTCAAGATA